CGGTTCGGATCCCACATGAGGGCCAGTGACACTGCCCTCTACAGCTAAGATGGTGAACAACAGCTCAACCTGGAGCTGGGCTGCCATGAGTCGCCAGCGGCGGCGTAGGCTGCAGTGAAGCTGCAGTAGGCTTCCAAAAGCTGCCGTGTGTGGCTGGCAGCCAGCATGAGCGGCAGCAGCCGGTGTGAGCTGCCAAGAGCCGCCATGAGTGGCCGTCCAGAGGCCGGCGACCGATCTGCCTCACCCGGGAAGAGCGCAATGATAATACCAACATGGGCCGGTGAAGCGATGTCCTCCACAACTAGACTGAAAAACAAAAGGACAGCAACTTGTCTGTTCCCCTTCCCCGACTCCCCAATGCTGTTCCCCTCCCCCAATTCTCCAATTTAAAAAAATCTAAAGAAAACAAAAAAATAAAAAATAAATAAAGACTATTTGATTGTTAAAATAATTTTATACTCACTTTTAAGAGAAAGCCATTGAGCTTCTACTAATTGTATTCTGATTGTGTGGTTTCTACTGAAAAACAGCTGTCTACTAGGTTTTAAATGACCCTGGAGAAGTTGTTCATTTGTTAAAACTTAGTTTCCTCTGTTCATAGGTGAGGCAATGTGACACAGTCAAAAGAGTATTTCATTGCATAATTGTGTGTATGGGGGAGAATCGTTTTAACTTTTTTGGAACTTTAGCTCCTCATTCAAAACACTGGGTGAGCTATACTAGAGTTACTTGTAATCGCTTAGAGGCTCTAAAATTTTATGATTCACATGAATAAATCATAGAGTAAGTATGAAATACAAAAACCTTTTCCCATCTGTTTGACAATGCCGTTTGTCTGGCCAAGGCAGGAGGAACTGAGGTGTTGCTGAACTGCTGATAAGCTATTGTTTCTTCATGTTATCTAAAAAGTGACAATAGGGAGGGTGCTCTGGAAACTTGGCAGAGGCGTCTGGAAATGCAAGGGTGGTGATGCTGGGAGGCAAATCTATGAAAAAGCAATGGTTTTTAAAGTCAAAGGGAACAGGGGACATACAGGCAGGCCCAGAACGGTGTAATGCAAGAGCTATGGAAGGACAAGCCAAGCGACAGAGGCGTTTGGGACAAGGTCTGCCTATGGCTACCGAGCAGCCTTAAAACTCGGGCAGAGTTAAGCCCGTCTCAGGGAATTCTCCTCTGGGGCTCCATCAGGATGGAGTCCCAAGAGCCAGGGGAGAGAGTCAGAGCTTTAAAGGGGAACCCTGAATCTCCGATAGAAAAGGGCCCTCCCTCCTTTCCCCATGATGAATGGAGCGAGAGAACAGTTTCATCTTAAACTAGAGGTAGAAAGTGAGAGCAAACTAGCAAGGACAATGTTAGACGACAGTAAAAGCCAGCCTTCCGGTGTGGGATGGAGCCCCTGAGTGATTCATACTTTGAAGCAGTGCCTGCTGAATAACATGACCCCAAGTATCTGTATATCTGCATATAATTACATATGGAGGACAGCGCTGTTAGCCCAGGGTTCCCTCAGGCACACTGAAATAAGCTTTGTGCTTTAAAACAATTCACTTTGCTGGGAAAGAAGAAAAAAGGCTGCCACAAACCCTGAAGGTTTATCTGAAAGGCTGATCTCCCCTGACTGACAGAGAAATAAAGCTACCCACGCTCCTGACAACGAAGTGTGGGACACCCCTGGGAACCAAGTTTTATCGCATCATCCCAGGCAAAGTTTGGGTCTTGCATCTAACAGCTATTTTTTTGGATGTCTACAATGGGCAACACTATGCTTGGAATACACAAAAAACAAAAAACAAAACCCTGCCTTTGATGAGGTTATAATATAAGAGGAGCGTCAAACATGTTTAAAGGAAATACATTATGCCTTTCCATTATAAGTTAACTATCATTCGTGTAATGACTTCAAACACTTGCACGTTTATTCTCTGGAAAGATTTCAAGGCCTTGTGTGGTTGGCATTGTTCTTGTTATTATCCACCCCTGCTCCCACCAGCCAATGACAGATATCCTCTGAGGCCCAAAGCGGTTAGGTGACCTACTTAAGATAACACAGCCAGTAAGCGGTACAGTCAAACCCTGAACCCCATGCTTTTTCCTCTCACAAATACAGATTTGTTGTCCCAGTTTGCTTTTAAAACTTTTCTTTTTATCTACAGTTCACAAAAGGAGTCTCTGTGGGTTTGGTTTTGTTTATCATTACTCCTCTGCCTCTTCCACCTCCGGCATAGCGTGTTTCTTCAGTTTAGGAAAGTTTGCACCCATACTCCTTCGCATAATGCCTCATTCCCATTCGCTCTAGCTGCTCCTTCTGGAATCTTAGATGCTGCAAAGCCTTCTCAGTCTATCCTCCAAGTTTTTCAAGATGCGCTCATATCTTCCTTTTTTGTATCTCTCTATTCTGCATCCTGGGGGAGTTCCTCAGATCTCTTTTCCAAAGCACTAATGCTCTCCTCATCTTTATATAACATGCTAGTTTGAACTTTTTAAAACCTATCTGTTCTCTTTTCATATTGTCTGTTCTTCCATTCTCTACCCTCTTCTATCTTTCAAATCAGTTCCACACACTTATTGCATAGTCTCTGGCAGGTGGTTCTGGGTCTGTTGGCCAGGTAATTTTATTGTGAGTCCATCCTTGTAACTACAGAACCAGCTCAAAATGGTCCTATCCTGTTGAACAAGATACTGAGTTGTTTTTCAGAGACAACAGACCAAAATCACAAGTCATGCAGCGGAAGCATGCGCACAGGAGAGAACTTTGACCTCCAGCTGTACCTGGAACCAAATTCTCACCACCCCGAACCCCAACCCTAACCACACACACACACACACACACACACACACACACACACACACACACAGAACCAACCAACCAGGACATAACCAGAACTTGAACACTAGAACCATTTCAGAAGCCAAGGATCCATTGTCCAGGGAGATCCCACATTAACACCCCTTTACCATAAATGGCCAAGTTCCAAGGTCCTCCAATTAAAACTTGCCCCACCAGCACTTCTACATACCTATTCCCCCTAAACCCCTTTAAAACCCTTAACTTAGTCCAGCGAGCAAGATGGATTTGAGGTACCATTAGGTCTCCCATCTTCTCAGTTGGTGCCTTCTCTATGGATAAACCTTTCCTTATTCCAAACTCAGACGTTCTGAGTTTTGGCCTTTCGAAGTGTTGGGCGCATGAACTTGGGTTTTGGTAACATCCTCAATGGGGACAGTTTACGGCGAGAAGGCCTCACCTGTCCAGGGTTAGAGGGGTTCCCCTGCTGAGCAGTTTTATTGGTGCTTCTAATGGGCAATGTATCAGCTACAGCCAGTTTTATGTTAATTTTTCCATCTGGGGAGGAATTTGGACCTCTTAACTCAAAGGAAGTTTATGGTGCTTGTTACTCTCTCTGCAAGGTTCAGGGTTTAGGGAGAATGAAACATATATAATATTTTTATAATGAGAATTATGGAAAGTGCCTATCACAGGGAGTGAAACCTGTGAAACCTATTTGGAAATATTTTCCAAATGTTTAAACATCTCCTTTCCCCAGGGCAGTAAACAGCACACCCTGAACTGGCTCTGGGCTCTGGGGAATCCCTTTAACTCTCTCTCCAGATTGTCAGCCCTTATTAAAGTTGCTGTTCCCCATTGTGAAAAAGAATGCTTACACAGTGTGTTCAAAATGAATGCTGTTTTAAAATTATTTTTATTGCTGTAAGTACACAGAAACTGTGAAATTAATTTAAGCAAGCTTTAATTACTGGTTTTTGTTGTGTACGATTCTTTGCATATTTCATTAAACCTTATTTTATAACAGTTGAATAATAACCAGTCTCCTACTACGACCAATTTCCCTGTTGATATTATCAAGCTATCTCTAAAATTATACTTAGAAAAGAGTTCTAAGACAATTGTTAGTTATTACACACCATCCAAAGTGACATCTGAAAGCTAAGCTAACACATCACTGTCACCCTCCTGGAGATTTCACAAAGATAAATTAAGAAGCTGCTAATGAAACACTAACATTTATAGTATAACTGTCACAAAAATATATAAGTATATATTATTCAAGCTGTATATTTACTGGTTTGAGAAGTGGCCTCTACACTTAATTACCAAGATTTCCTTTCCAAAGGTAGACTATCATCAGCAAAACAAAAATTTTAACAATTTCATTATAAATCCTTCAATGTGTAAAAGAAGAAAAACAATCGGGAAATTTTTTGAAAGAATATTCAGTGGATATATTTGTAGTTGCAAGTTTCACAATAAATAAAGTTTTAACATTACTTTCTTTAAGACACAAAAATAGCTCCCACCCCCTTAGGTCGCATAATAAAAAGCACATATTTATTTCTTACCTCTGAACTTCTTGGGAGGATTAGCAAGGTCTCCAGCCTCTGGGTGTACCACACATCTATCATCCACTAACCTAGAAGGAAAAGCACGATCACATTGTTAACACTGTCATATTCAGAAGACATCAACTGCATGTGGATAGTATGTATATAAACACAATACTTACAAAGAGCTTTAATACCATTCTTTACTAAAAAAACTTTTTAATAATCATGGATATGTAAAAAGATTTGGTTATATAGGTATTAATAAAAGAAACGGTTTATGAAATTCAATAGCAAGAAACATTGTTAAGCGAGAGGGATCTGGTGAGATAAACCATGAAATAGATAAACCATGGGACACTGGAGAGCTCCTTAAAATTCTATTTAAAAAAATACAATGGCCTGTAAAACATTTAAAATATGCTGTGAAAGAGGAAAAACGGAGGGTTACCAGTTGGGAGTGGTGGGGATGAAGGAGATGGGGAAGGGACGAGATAATACAAATTGGTAACTACAGTATGGCCTCAGGGATAGAAAAGACAGTCTGGGGAATATAATCAACATTATATTCCCCAATATTTAGGGGGCCAGTTGAACTCATGTCTTGTTAAGGGGACCACTGCATAGACAGTGTAGAGGCCTGACCATCGCACTGTATTTCTGAAGCTGATGTTGAAAAATATTGTATGTCAACTACAATTATATATACATATAGTCACGGGACATGGAGTGTGGGAATGAAGTCAATGGAATTGTAATAGATAAGCATGATATCGGGGGTGGGAGGGCAGTGGATGGGGGGAGGGGGGTTGTTACTTTGTGAGAGGTGAAAAGGATAACTATTGCATTGTTCTGTACACCTGAAACTAATCATAAAAATAAATAAAAATAAAAATAAAATAAAAATATGCTGTGAAAATAAATGGCATTAAATCAATAAGATATCATATATGTTTATGCACACAACGTACACCTCCATACATACGTAATGAATGCATCCCAGACACCAATACATTAACCTTGGTCAGATTACCCATAGTTTTTATTTTCCTTTCCTTTTTTTCTTCTGAGTGTGTGAGTGTGTGTGTGTGTGTGTGTGTGTGTGTGTGTAAGTGCTTGTTTTTTTTAACAAGGAATGTGTAAGCTTATGAGGTCAGGCTTACAGAGTGACCACAGAGTGGGTGGTTGCGGGCACTCCTCCTGCATTCAGACCCTGCATCAGCCATTCCTAGCTAGGTGACCGTGGGCCTCCTTGTTTACACCTGTAAAATAAGGATAAGAGTACCTACCTCACAGCACTGTTAGAAGAATCAAATGATTTAATATCTGTAGAGTACCAAGGACAATTTCTGGCCTATAGTAAGCCCTTAAACAAGTGTTTAACAGATAAACAAAATCAAGGATCTTGCCTGCCTTATTCCTTACCATGCTGTCTGCTTCTAGAAGAGTGTCTGGCACATAGTAAGCAGCCCACAAATTAATGAAATGAATAAGTTGCTTTTGTCGTTACAAAAACATGTTTCATCCTGATTAAAATATTTACAAGAAGCCAATTTCTAGGACAATTCCAAGCGAGAAAAGCTGAATTTCTGCCCTGAGAGCTAAGAGACATGGATCTAATGTTCAAAGAGGAATAGCTAACCACCAAAGACACTAACGTTCATTTTCTCCATTGACGGAGAGGTGAGAATAACTGGGATGTTTTTCCAGTATATTTTGAGAATGCAGATCTGAATTAGTTCCAAGCTTGTGAACTCATTTGAAAGGAGATGCCCAAGTTGCAACTTTTTGTTTTTTAAAAAAACATATTCATCAGACTCACTAGTACATATCAACTCCAGCACAGAGTAAAACCCAATTTGTGATCAAATGTCCATTTGAACTTGGATTAACCAAATCGAGACTTTAGCTCCTGGCTTATCAGCTACCAGAAGCAGACACTTCCTAAATCACCAGTTTTTTCTACAGCATCCAATTTCCGCAAAACAAAGTGTTAATTTGGTCAAGCAATATGGTTCTTTAATACATATATATATATATATATATATATATATATATATATATATATATATATACACTGGTGTGGAAAAATGTGGTTTTAGAAGACCTGCCAAGCATGCAAGAAATTCCTTTTAAGAGTCTTTCAAATTGTTTTCTTAGAANTATATTTACACTGGTGTACTAAAATGTGGTTTTAGAAGACCTGCCAAGCATGCAAGAAATTCCTTTTAAGAGTCTTTCAAATTGTTTTCTTAGAAGCAGGAAGTCACAAAGAGTCAAGAGAAAGCAAACCCAAACCTCTTCAATATCCATCTTCAGTCTATGACATAGAATGTGAAAGGCTCAAGGAGTCCTGAGAATGTCACAGCATAATTTTTTTTTTCAATGCTGTGAGGGAAAGGCCAGCTTTTCTAATTAGTTAAGACATGTTAAGAATTCAAAACATAATAATAAAAAAAAAACCACAGTCTTATTTAGAGCACACTGAAATTATATAAACAGTAGCACTGACATTCTGTGCATTCTTTGTGCCTCCCCATTCCCACAGAGTTACAGGATCCTACTAGAATGCCTCCCGGAGTCCCCACCTGCATGGGCTAGCCATCAAGAGGAATGGGAAAAACAAAAACTACAAATCAGATCACAGTACATTGGTGTAAACACTTATGCCTATCCTCGATTACCCGATAGCCCAGATAAAAATATAATAATTAAGCGTGACTTCCATTCTAAGAATTTGTCCTATTCCCTCTATTCAAATGTGTGTGAAAATCACAAAGACAATCATTTCATCATATAGACATCAAGAATTGGAACTGAGAACGGAAGAAAAGGGAATATAGGATAGGAAGTGTATAAAGGAGTGTTATAAGGACATTTAGGATCATTGAAGTTAAAACTTAAACAGGGGGCTGCTGGTTAGCTCAGTTGGTCACAGTTCAGTGCTCATAACACCAAGGTTGCCGATTCGATCCCCACCTTGGCCACTGAGTTGCACCCTCCACAACTAGAGTGAAACAACTACTTGACTTGGAGCCAATGGGACCTGGAAAAACACACTGTTCCCCAATAAAATTTAAAAAAAAAACACCTTAAACAGGATTTTAATGGTAATGATTGGCACAACTTCTACAATACCCCCAACACCCTCTTCTTGAATACCTCCAGGGTCAGAGTATTCCCCAGTTACCATCTTTTTTACACTACTAATATTAGAAATGTGTTTAATATAGAGGTGAAATAGCACCCTATGTTTCCCATCACGGTACTTATCACATTGTCTTATAACTGCTTGCTTAATTGTCTGGATCTTCCAATAAAATTCTAACTCCATGAAGTCGGAAACTGAATCCATCTTGTACACCATTATGTCCTTGGCATCTTCTAAAATTAGCTACAGTACTAAATAAGTACTTGTTGATACTAAATAAGTATTTGTTGTATGAATAAATGAGTCAACGGATAAATGAGACTTGCTTCCCAAGTAAATTTCCCTTTTTGGTTCCAGTCCTTTCTTCTGGAACTATACAGACTAAATCTTCTATTTCTGTGATGAGCAAGACTATTTCTCTCCCGTCCTTCCTCATGTGTATATTAACCAAGGAGCTCAACACCTTTCCATGTACCCCGAGTGTCAACATGCCCCTTAAATGTGATCCTAGAGACTATCCACTGGAGTCCAGGTATGCCCCCAATAAGTACAGCTCTGCTCAAACATGGGAGGTGTTAAATAACTAATAATTGAGTGAATGAATGACTTTTTTTAATAAATCAATAATGTTACTTTTGATAGACCACTTTATAAACAGTAAAAAATAACTACAACCATCGAATTGTTGCCTAATAGTAAATGGAAGAAAGGGTCAGAAATATTCCCCATCTAGACAATTACCAAAAATGTCAAATTTTGAAAAGGGCCAAGATAGCCTGTTCTAAATAACGATATCATAATAGTACTTTTCAACCCAGTACACTGATATATTTTTTAATGGGCTACATTTATTTTTCTCATGTCTGAATCAGAAAGAAAGCCAAACAGGCAATTATAGCACTAGCCTAAAATTCTCAATCTGTCACTGAAACTCAACGATCATAAAACCTGTAATCCTTCATATCTATCTTTTCTTCATAAGGTCATAACCGTAAATTATTTGTGCATTTTATAAGAAAAGAAATCATTCAACAACTAGACCTTCCAAGGTATCTATAACCAGATCTCACTAGCTACTTTGAAAGATTTTATACATAAGGATGAATCACAAATATGAGTCATATTTTAATTGGATATGTAGATATACCCCCTAGAGAAATCTTGCAAACATGAATCTGGAGACATGTACACGAGTGTCTGAGGCAACACTGCTCGTGACAGCCAAAAATGAAAATCTCAAATGTCATCAATAGTAGCATAAATAATGACAAAATGAATAATTTCATACAGTGGATAACTATTTTAAAAGTGAATAAATTGCAGTTTCACGCAACATTAAAAATCTCAAAAACATAAAGTTGAACTAAAAAAAAAAAGTCCCCAAAACAAATAAATGTTATTTAATCCCATTTATGTTGGAAATAGGCAAAACTAAATAGCATATAATTTAGGAATACACGTGGGGTGTAAATATATTATTGCATAGAAATACATGGATATCAGATTTCTAAATAGATTTTCAAAAGAAAGTAAATTATTCTTTGGTCTTCCTTCCCTTATTATTCCACCAATTGCAAAGAAAATGCCACATAATTGGTAAAATATGTTAGGCATAGCTTTCTCCTTATGAAGCTCTAAGTGGTATTTCTACCTTGACTATTCTGTAAGATAAGTGTATTATTTTCCTGATGTTTGCTTACCACATATATCTGATCGTCATACCATTAAGTGATACAGCTCATTTCTAACACTGAAACACATTTAAATACAGTGAATTTAGGAGGAAAAATAAGGTGTGGAATCAACAATGGGCATTATTAAAAACTTCTAGCAAGAAAGGCGGTTATGATTGTGGCTAGGTTCATGAGCGTGATGGAATTGCCTTTAAAGTACTTTCAGAACTCAATCACAAATAACTATCCCCAACTCTGGGATTTT